GCCCGGCTGCCCCACCCACCGTGCCCTGCCAGAGACCCCAGCCTACTTCCAATCCTCCGTCCGCCCTACCACACGTCCCGCCTCTATCTGGGGCCACAGCCACTCCCCCTCGGCTGACCCTGGCTGACCCCCAGCTCCAGTCCCGCAGGAATGGGGTGGCCAGTTGGATGAAAGAAAAGCTGGTCCCCGGCCACCCGCGCGCACGACTGCCCCAGCCCCCAGGACCAGCTCGGCCCCTCCCCCTCCGGCCTCGAGGGAGGGAGCGGGCACACTCCGCCGGGGCGGCATGAATCAAACGCTCCGCGGCTAAGAATAGCTGGCACGCAGCTGGTACTGAGACGGGCTGAGGAATCGGCGAGGGGGGGTGGAAAAGGGGAGAGGGGGTGCCCTGGGAGGCTGCGGGGGGGACAGGGGGCGACTGGCGTGGCCGAGAGCGGGCCCGGGAGAATGAATGGAGGCGGAGGGGGGAGGAGAGAGAGCTCGGGCTGAGGCCGAGAGGCTGGTGGGGGAGAGCCCCGGGCCGGGGAGAGGGGCGGGGGCTTCGGGAGCGGGACTCGGGGGCGGGAGCCGAGGGGGTGCGCCGGCCGGCGGTGAAAGGGCTGGAGACGGTGGGGATGGGGGGAGCCTGGGTCGGGGGTGGGAAGGGATCGAGGCTCCGGGAAGAAGAAGTGGGAGCTAGAGGCGGTCGAGGGGGGCGGAGGATGCTAGGGCCTAGACCCGCGCCGAAGGGGGTGGGAACCAGGGTGACCTGAGGGAGGGGCCCAGGTGCGCCAGGGTGGGCGAGGCGGGGGAGTGGCCGGGCAGGGCCAGGAGGCGGTACCGCCACCGACCCTTGGCCCTAAAGAGCCGGTAGGCGGGTTCGGGCTAGGGGCTCCGCTGGCGGGGGATGGGGCGCACCCTCTCACCAAGGATGCGATCTGGGACGGGGCACCCGGGACCGGGGCGTAACCCAATTTGGTGTCACCCGGGACAACGATCCCCTCCTCACCCGCACCCCCCACAGCACACCCAGGCCCGGAGCCGGCGCCGGGCCAAGGACATCCGGGGCGCCCCCGTCCACCCCCCCCCCGCAGCCCCAGCCCCGCAGCTCCACCAAAACCCCAGGTTCCCGGCCCCCTTACCTGCCTGGCGGGGCTGCTGAGTCCCGGTCGGCGGCGCCCGCGGCCCCTCCCCCCTCCCCCCACCCCCCACCCCCCCGGAGACGGGGGACCCTCAGGCCATGCCCCACCGCCCCGGAGGGCGAGCGGGCCGGGGAGGGGGCGGGCGGGGGCCGGGGGGGAGGGCGGGGGTGCCGAGGACCTCACCCCCCCCGCGGGCCGGGCCTGGCCATCCGCAGAGCGCCCCCCCTTCTGCCGCGGCCGCCGCGCCCCTCCTCGCCCGCCCCCGGCTCGGTCCGGCCGGCTCCGGGCGCCGCGTCTCCGCCTGCTCTTCCTCCTCCTCTTCCTCGGGCCGCCGCCGCCGCCGCCGCCGCCGCCCGCTCCGCGCCTCCTCTGCCACCCTTCTCGCTCTCTCGCTCTCACTGTCTCTCCCTCACCCTGTCTCTCTCTCCCTCCCTCTCTCCCTCCCTCCCCTCCCTCCGCCCTCTCCCCTCCCTCCGGGAGCCAGCAGAGGAGACATCGCCCCTCCCCGCGCCCCCAAACCTCGCCCATCCCCCCCACCGCCGGCTCCGCCCCCTCCCCTTGCCCTCCCCCACCACTCTTCTCCACTGCCAAGTCCCCAACCCCGGACTCCACCCTGCTTGCCCCCGTGCACCAACGATGGGGTCCCGCCCCCCCCAAGGGTACCCAACAAACATCCGGAGACTGCCCTGCCCCAGAGTGCCTCCCACCCCCTCTACACACAGTGGGGTGCATTAAGTATTTGTTGTCAGGCACCCGAATCCCCAAATTGGATTTTGAGGGTTATAGATTCCTGTCCTGTGCCCCTAAACACACAACACACACACACACACACACACATACCCACACTACTTAAGCACAGGGCAAGGCACACGTGGGCACACCTGACAGGCACTGTGTCCCCCAAGGCACAGGTGTGTAGAGTCACCAGCCTGCATAGAACTCACAGACAACCCCAAGTGTGCATACTGGGCATGCCGTCCAGGCACAAGGTACTTGGGGACACACGACTACAAACATACCCAGCTGCCTGTGCTTGTCATACCCTTGTGCCCTCCAGAGCATGCATGCAGCACAGTGCAGGGCTCACCTACCACACGCCCAGAAGCACACCTGGGGGTGCGTGCTCATATCTCACAAACTGGAACAGAGGCACATGGTAGGGAGGAGTGTGTGTGCCTTCCTAACACACCCACAGTACCACCCATCACACAGGTTTGCACACACCTGTTTAGTTGCACAATACTGTGCCATAACTCCGCCCCAGGACATTTCTTGTGCAGGTGCAGTGTGCCAGGCTCTGAGACTTTCACCTTTCCTGTGTTCCAAAGGCACAGAAAATTGAGGCACAGAGAGGCTAAGTATTTTGCCCAAGGTTGCCCAGCTATAAAGAGGCAGCATTCAGAATTAGGGACAGGCAGGCTGGATCCAAAGTCTTCATTTGTCCTCTATGTGCACTACAGGGCGCCATAGTTGCATATCTTCACTTATCACAAATAGTCTTGCACAGCCATGTGCTCAGAGCCCATGTACACACACACAGTCAGCTGTGTTCATTTGTGCCCAGGATGCACTCAGAAAGAGTGAACTCCACAGGGCAGCCCAGACTTCTACCTTACTCCAGCTCCAATGGCACCACCTTGGTCACCAGTAAACACAGGCACCTACAGTGGAGAGTTCTAGTCAACTCTTCAGTTTGCCTCCAGCTGCAGGCTCTCCAGGGCTCCTGGGATGAGCTGGAGTGGGTGCCAGCCTAGCCTAGGGAGGCCCCTATCCTGATGCACACCCACCCGCCAGGTGGTGAGCAGCTGGGCCCAGGGGAAACAGCTGCTCTTTTGGGCGCCAGCAGTGAGAAGCGGTGCCCCCTCTACAGCCTACAAGGCCTTTCTGGACCTACACATTACCTCTTGAGGTCTCGAGGCCTAGTGAGGGGTTTCTGGGCCCAGATGGGCACTGGAGAGACCCAGGCTCCAAAGCAGTGAGCAGCCTGCCCAAGGTCACGCTGCCCTCGGTGTACCAGCTTTCTTGGAAAATGGAAAGCTGGATGTGTTGATTTCCAAGGCCCCTCCTGGGGCTCCCAGTAGCCGAGGGCAGATGCCCTGCTCTTTGTAGGAGCCAGAAGTCTTGGCCAGCTGCCACCAGGCTGGTGACCTCCAGAGGGCTGTGCTATTTCCCCTCTCAGAGCCTCCATTTCCTCTTTTGAAGCGCGGACCCCTTGATTCCTGGCTCATGAGCTCCATGCTTGTTGGCACAACCAGCCAGCCTGACGCTGGAAAAGCCCTGCATGACTCACAGGGCTGGCACAGGGTGGCCATGGCATGGCCTCTGCTCCCCTTGCCTCTGAGCCTCTCTCCCACTGTCCTCACTGCCTCCACCCAAGCTGCAGCCACCACCCTGGAAACTCAGGATGCATGCTAAACACCAGCCAAGCCCCGGGCCTTTGACCAAGCTCTGCCACACCAGGAACAGCTACCTCCTTACTCAGCGAGAGTCAACACCTACTATGTGCTAGGGAAGCTCGGGGGAAACAGCGTGTACAAGAATCCCTGCTTTCATTAGCAGGAGGCATATGTGTTAACTGATAGGATCATGCCAAGTGAGTACACCAAATTGATAAGGAGAGGCACTTTATAAAGCAATTTATGGACCTGAAGCTTCCAAAGAAGGCTTCTTGAAGCTGAGACCCCAATAATGAGGGGGAGCTGAAGGAAGAACCTTCTAGAAGGATGGAAAGGCGAGTGCAAAGGATGAGGTGGGGCAGAGCAAGGAGGCCAGCAAGGCTGGAGCCATGGGGGCAGGGGCAGTGGGGGCGATGAGGTTGCAGACCTGCAAACCTGCAAGGGCTCCTCTTTCCCAGCCCCCAGCCAGGCAGGCTATGCTGAGGACTAAGGCTCGGGTTTGGCTTCCCTCCTGCTTATGATGGGAAGGTGGGGGAGCAGGGGAGTGGGGAATGATGTGATCTGATTTATGGTTTGGAAGGATTGCTCTGGCTGCGGCAAGCAGCCGGGATTGGAGGGGCTTGGGAGGAAGGAGGGGGAGGGCAGGGAGGAGGTGACTGCAGTGGTCCAGGCTGGGTTGAGACAGCTTGCCGAATGCTCAGAGCCCAGCATCTGTCTATTCTACCACCTGGAGCAAACTTCTCTGGCCACTAGCCCCCAGTCTCCACCCTCTGCCCAGCCTCTTACCCTGGGGACTTCTCTGTCTGCTTGACTGTGAGCAGCTCAGCATATGCAGTCTCCAGCATAGCACTGCCCAGTGCTTGGCCTGCAGGAGGCTTCCAGTAAAATGTAGGCACTGAATCCAGGAACCCCATCTGGGGCTGCACACACAACCATAGCATGCTTTTCACACATGTCCCCACAGGCACTCATCCTCTCACACCCACTTGCATCACTAGGCAAGGGCTGGGAGGCCAAGGGTGGGCCATCCAGGTGCAGGAGGTGCCCCAGAGCCTGAGAGTGGTGGAAAAGTCTCTTCCATCAGGGTGTGTGGGCGATGGTGGCTGCAGGGTAATAACAACCTTAGTGAGTCCCAGAGTTCTCCCCCCTCCTCAGGAATGGCCAGGAGGGCGAGAAAGGAATAAGGTTGAAGCCCCAGCAGCCCACTACTGCCAGCCTGGTCCTGAGGGGTTCCTTTCCAAGGCCAGGGCCTGCCATCCCCAGGATCCCTTGGAAATCCAGCTCCATCCTCTTCCTGACCATCTGAGCTCTTGGCCAGGCAGAAGGAAAGAACAGGGCGGAAGCGAGCTCTGTGGAAAGAGGGGGGGTGTAGGGAGACCCAAGGCGGGATCAAGGCTTTGGAACGTTGGAGGTTTCCGGCCACAGAGGCAGGACCTCTGGGGAGCCAAGAGGGCGGGGAGACACACACAGAGGGGCGGAGGAGACCAACGGACAGAGACAGGAGCAGGAGGGGAGGCACAAGAAAGAGGCTGGCAAAAGCGGGAACCAGGGGCTAGTGATCTGCACACAGGACAGGAGCTTTCACCAGTCTCCAGAGACCCTAGCCCTACACCAGACACCCTGACATCTGCAACCTTGGGTGCTGAGAGCCCAGCCTGATGCAGGCAGCTTGGCTCTTTGGGGCCCTGGTGGTCCCCCAACTCTTAGGATTTGGCTACGGAGCTCGGGGAGTCGAGAGGGAATGGGAGGGAGGCTGGGGAGGTGCCCTGGAGGAGGAGCGGGAGAGGGAGGCCCTGATGCTGAAGGTGAGCTGTGGAGTTTTGGGGAACTGTGGGCTTGGGAGGGGGTATTCCAAGGTTAGGGAAATGGTTAAGGGGGAGTCATGAGGATAGACTCAGAGGATGGGGGTGATGGGTTCAGAGAAAGGCTTCAGGCTCAGAGCATGAGCTGAGCTGGAGAGGGGACAGTGGGGCATCAGGAGCGGCAAGCTGGGGCTGACCATCCCTCCCCTACCCCAGCATTTGCAGGAGGCTCTGGGGCTGCCAGCTGTGGGGGTGGATGAGAATCTTGCTGTTACTCCTGAAGGCAAACTGGCCTGGGAGACTCAAGAGGATCAGGGGGAGGAAGAGGAGGAGGAAGCAACGCCAACCCCTTCCATCATCCCCAGTCCCTCTCCCACCCATGAGGACACCATCACTTATATCTGTGAGTAAGCAGAACCTGGTGTGGCCTTTCAGCTGCTCACGGCCCAGCCCAGAGCCCCCACATCCCAGGGGGCCCCGCCCCAGTCCTCGCCTCCAAGAGTCTAGGCTACTGATCCAGAACTTCCAGAAGTTCCAGAACCCCAAGGTTCCTCCTCCAGCGCTTGCCCTGTGCTTCCGCAGTGGGACGCCTGGCCGGTCTGGACGCAAGCCTGCACCAGTTGCACGTCCGTCTGCACGCGTTGGACACCCGCGTGGTCGAGCTGACCCAAGGGCTGCGGCAGCTGCGGGAAGCAGCGGGTGACACCCGCGACGCAGTGCAAGTCCTGCAGGAGGCGCAGGGCCGAGCGGAGCGGGAGCACGGCCGCTTGGAGGGTAAGTCCCCACCACACACAGAAGGGAAAATGGGACGATCCGGACCAGGCTGGGCACTGGTGGGAGGAGGGGCCCTGAGAGGCATAAAGAGTTGGGGACCCTGGATGTCTTGGGCGAGAGTGTCCCGAGAGAATTGTGGTGTGTTGATGCCCAGGAGGTTCGAGTAACTGGGATGGGCCAAGCGCGAGACACTCCTCCCCTCGCAACTGTGCTGACCAACTCGGGCCGCGCCACGCCCCCTAAAGGCCCGCCCCAGCAGACTGGCCCCACCCCCGGCAGCCCTGGTGGTCGGCCTTGTAGCTCGCCGGGGTTCTGACCCCGCCTCCTCCCGCACAGACCCTGGTCCCGCCCCGAAAGCTCTGACCCCGCCTTCCCTCCCCGCCCCGCCCACAGGCTGTCTAAAGGGGCTGCGCCTGGGCCACAAGTGTTTCCTGCTCTCGCGCGACTTCGAGGTGCAAGCGGCGGCGCAGGCGCGGTGCGTGGCGCGAGGCGGTAGCCTAGCACAGCCTGCCGACCGCCAGCAGATGGAAGCGCTCACTCGCTACCTGCGTGCAGCGCTCGCTCCCTACAACTGGCCGGTGTGGTTGGGCGTGCACGACCGGCGCGCCGAAGGGCTCTACCTCTTCGAAAACGGCCAGCGGGTGTCCTTCTTCGCCTGGCACCGCTCGCCCAGCACCGAGCCGGGCGCTCAACCCAGCGCCGCGCCGCACCCGCTTAGTCCCGACCAGCCAAACGGCGGTGCGCTGGAGAACTGCGTGGCACAGGCCTCGGACGACGGCTCCTGGTGGGACCACGACTGCCAGCGGCGTCTCTACTTCGTCTGCGAGTTCCCTTTCTAGCGGGCGAGTCCCCCGCCTCTCCGTTCCATCCCTCCACTGTGCACACCTCCCCCACCCCCCCACACACACCAAGACGCCTTTCCCTCCCTGGGCCCCGCGGTGAAAGTGTGTCCCCATCCCCGGCTGGGCTGGGCGCTCCTGGGAGGACTCTTGCGGGTTCGGGGTCCCTTCAGTGTCTGTGCCTTTTCTTGAAGCTGCGAATACCAGGCTTGGTCCGGCGCCAATAAAGCCTTGTGGAATATGTCTTGAGGGACTCTGGAGGCACTTTTGACTTATCTTGCCTCGGCGAAGCAGATTCTGGCACTTGGGTACCTTACAGACCTGCTTTTTATGGTTGACATGTGAGCCCAGTATCAATGACTGAGAACATATGTGCATGTGTGCACGATTATGTGCTCCCTTGCACATATGTCACGAGTGCAAATGTGCACACACTTCAAATGCCTTCACCTCCATTGTGTCCCCTCTGAAGGCCTTTGGGACCCAAGTTCTGTCAATCATTGCCCCAGACCCTGGCCTTGGTCCTGGTCAGAGATCTGGGAAACACGAAGGTGCTGAAGGATCTGGCAGGTCCTACTGGAAAGAACCCATTTAATTTTATTTAGTGTTAATTAGTGTGTCTCAAGCTCATTTTTTCCAGATGGTACCATTTCATCAAGCCCTGATTTGAAAGGAGAGACACCTCCTACTATTTTTCCCTCTCCCAAACTCCTGGGCTCTGTGTTCAGAGATTAACAACCTTCCCTGCCAGGAAGCTCAGGTTCCTTCCCAATGCTGCTGCCTCTACTTCCTGGCCAATGAAAGGATGAGTCAGGCTCTTCCTGTCTGAACCTCAATTTTTGTATCTGAACATGGGTACCATCTCCCTTACTTTGTATGGCTCTTGTGATGTTCAGGTGAGGCTGGGAAAATGAGTATTTGGGAAGAGGTTGAACATAAAGCCACACACTATCTTCCTCCCTTGCTGTTTTTCATAATTTTATTCCCTGGGAGCAGTGAAAATACCCAGGAGTTGGCCAGCCTGGGCCTCAGCATTTTTACCACATTATTTCGGGGAGGAGCTCATGGCATTATCCCAATGCTACTGCCAATGTTGGCATCATGGGCCTGACCCTGACATTATTGTGGAGTCCAGGAATAGGGATGTGACCCCGGCTGCCATTACATCTTTGCTCTTGACCTTCCTTCCACCATAGCACCACATGCCTAAAGTGTCATCATTGGATCTACTGTTGTGGGGGTGGGGGACAAGCCACTCCTGTCATCTCTAGCAGAGTAGAGCACTTCCTCTTGTCCATTGTGGAGTTATCTTTCAGCTACAGGACTGCACAGGAAGTACAGAAAATGGAGGTGGGAATGGCCTATGGTCAGGAGGGCTTCAATTGGTGGGGACAGACATGGCTCGAAAGTCTTTCCACTCTAAGCAGCTTCCCAGGATTAGAGGGGACAGACAACAGGATACTTACAGCAAACCAGGACAGATCAGGCCACAATGACGAGTATGTGCCATTTCCAGAGGGTTCACCACAGGACACGGTTGAGACTATACAATAGAGACCTGCCTGGATTCTGGAGCCAGACTGCCCAGGTTCTAATTCTATTTTAGCCACTTATCTACGAGATGAGTTTGAGTGGGATTTTGCCTTGCTATGCAGGAATGGTAATAATTCCCACCTCTTCTAAAAGATGGCTGGAATACCTAGGCAATCCACTGGTTATTCCAACCTCACCTTCACCGCTGTCTCCTGACACCTGCCTTTGCACACGCAGAAGTCCCTGTCCTCCCTTTTCTGCAGGGTGAACACCCATTTACGAGAGCCAGCCTTTTCTCAATACCCCACAGTTAATGTCCCTCTTCTGTATTCCAAAACCACTGCCTGCTCACCTGACTCAGCCAGGCTGGGGGACACTGATGGCAGGGGTAGGTGTGGATAGGTAGGACCAACTGTTGCCCGCAGCCTCCCTGGCACATGGGAGCCCACTGAATGAAGATACAATGTGGGACCATGATGGTGAAGGTAACCCAAAAATGAGTTGGATCTCTGCAGTTTTTCCTCCCTGCCCTGCCTAGGATAAGTCAGGCACCCACTGGGTCCTGGGGACGGGGAAGGCTTTCCACATCACCATAGGTGTTATTATCTGGTCTTCTCCCTGACAGGTGGCCAGGGCCACCACACCAGCTCAGGAAGTGTTATGGCATGAAGAGAGGATATGGGTGGGGAATGGTGCACATTGGCGAGGACTGTTTATGTACCAGAGCAGCGCGCGCGTACGTGGCTTTATGTGGTCAAGGACTGGGAAACCTGCCCACTCTGCCAGGAAGTCCTCCAGGCGTCCCATGGACTACAGCTGGGAATGTTCCTTCTCTGGCTTTTCAATTTTCGAGGCCAGAGTTATGGACCAGAGGACGCCAGGGCAGCTGACTGGGACGGATGCATTAAAGGATCCCAGATTATAGTCCAGAAAGAGCACGAAAATATATAGTCCAGAGGAGCAGGAAAAACCAGGGGCCCTATGGACTTTCAGGACTACGAATCCCAGGAGGCTGAGAGGCGCGTTCTCACGTCCCAGCAGTCGTCGGGAGTCTCCTGCAGCGTTCTCACAAGCCCCGCCCCCTCCTTCCACGTGGGCTTCGCCTACATTTCCCAGCAAACCTGGTGACCACGCCCTCATCAGTGAGGTCAGAGCTCAGCAGTCCCCAATCAGAGCTCAGACCTCTCCCCCCCCCCCCCCCCCCCGCTCCTTGAGGTGCTTTGGGAAATGTAGTGGATTCCCTGGGCCAGGAGTAGGAAAACCAGAAGCAGCAGAGTCCACTTGTGTATGTCTTTCCACCCAGAGTTTTGCAAATACGGCTGGCTTACCGTGGGGCGATCATAACCATTATTTAACGGTGAAATGAATTCAGTGTGCCTAGAAAATGGCAAGAAATATATCTCAAAAAGTTGAACATCGTAGTCTGTACGGAACTACCATCTCAAATACAACAAAATTTCTTTTGCCTGGGAAATGTTTGCTACACACTGGTCCACACCAACTTAGTTTCTTAAAGAAAAGAACAACAACATTTTTTTTTTTTAATTGGGAAATAATTTTAAATTTACACACAACCTGCACAAATACGCTTATCCAGACTTAATGCTAGTGAGTAACTGTTTATTCCTTTGCTTTAGCTCTGTCATTCTACCCACCCATCCAAGACCAGCCACCAGGGACAATGTCACCCCATTGCAATGAAGGAGACCACGCTTCAGGGAAGAGCTGTCTCCCATCCCAGCCCAGGTGTGCCAGGGCAGTGGGGCAGGTTGCAGATAGGCCAAAGAAAGTGCCTGGAGACATAACTTATTGGGAAAACTTACAAGAGATCAGAATCTGCTGCAAAATATTCACTGGTGACATTCTGACTGAAAGCACCTCTGTCCCTCAGGGTGCTTTGTCAAACAGTGTCTCCTTTCCCTCAGGGTGTTTTGTCCAGTGGTGGTCAGTTGGATGAGTGACACTATCCTTTCTACAGCACCCTTAGTTCCGCACCTATTCCCACTCAGGAGAGGGCTGTTACGTCTTAGGCTGCAGAAGCAGCGGCATCATCAGCATCAACTTGCTGAGTGTGCTTGTGTGAACAGCTTCCCAGGAAGCACCTGTCCTGCTGTGCATGCAAGAAAGTAGCTTTCTACAGCCACTCTGATTCGCCCTAGTTCCCAGTGTGTGCAATCCTTCAAGATGGTTCATATCTGGACTTTCGGGCCCAGGATTGCTTTTGTTGTTCCCTTAACTTGGATAGGTTTTGGGGAACACAGAGGGGCATTCAGGGACGTGCTTTTTTACTGTTTCCCTTTTCTTTAGGATTGATCCAAGCTGTGCTGGAGTTTTAGGATTTAGAGGAAGAGAGGAATCTGGGTGAAAGACAGTTGAAAGGATGTTTGAGAACTATAGTTCAAAGCATCAAGTCCCAAAAGTAGAGTGGACCCAGGGTCCTGTTTCCTAGGAAACTACAATGTTAATATAAATGTATCATGTTGTGCTCAGACACCTTTATTTGAAGCTCTCCACCAGGGCTGGAAATCAGTGCTTCTCATCTGTGTCCAAATGGCTGGTGTTCCATTCTTATGTGTATACTTTTAAATAGCAATAATGTTGCTGTTGGTGATAGCACAGCAGTAGTTACTCACAAAGGGATTGCAATGACACTTTACAGGTACTGGCCCGGCACATCCCTGGATGAAATATTTCCAGTTAACCTTGCAGCTGACTTTATCTGTTTCCATAAAGGGAGGGCAGGGAAGATTTTCACAGTCCTAGCTAGTTTTCCTTTCTCACTATATAGGTGTTTTCTGAAGCATTTGAGCACTCTCTTACATAACTGCAGTAATCAACCTCAGTAAACACAATATTTACGCAACACTTTTGTCTGATCTCCTGGTGACATTCCAGTCTTGTCAGTTGATTGGGTGATGTGCCTCACAGCACTCACCCTCTGGTCCAGGATCCAGTGTGGAGTCTCACTGCATTAGTTCTCAGGTCTCTTCAGGGATGATCCAAGCTCCTCTCATCCGGAACATTCCCCCATTTATGATACTGACATTTTGGAAGAACATCCCCTCTGCCCCTCCTTTAAAAGTGAAAGTTCCTCATTTTGAGTTTGTCTGACGTTTCCTCATGATGATTGGTCTCCGCCAGGATACAGGAGGTGAAGTGCGTCCTTCTGATTTTCTCATCTGGACAGTCAGTGCCCGACTGTCCTTTGTTTTGTCACTAGGTTTGATCGCTTGGCCAACATGATGTCCATTTCTTCCACTGTGTAATTGCTGTTTTTTTTTTTCTTCTCCTCTGTAACTAATGAGCAGTCTGTGGACAGATACTTTTAAGACCAGGTAAAATCTGGTTCCTCATTAAAATTTTCCCCTAGATTTAGCATCCATTGATGATTCTCGTGATTTCCAAACTGGAAAATGACCACATACAAGAAAAGAACTGCATACAGTTCCGTTTCTCTCATGAACATAGATGCAAAACACTCAAATCACATAATAAATAACCTATTAAATCTAATGTTGGATCAAAATTCATCATGATCAGGTAGAATCTGGGCCTCTGATACAAAGATGGTTCGGACTTTGTAGAATCTTTCAGTGTCATTCATCATGTCAGTGGACCAGGGAAGAAAATATCATGGTTTCAATTAATGTGGAAAACCAATTTGATAAGGCTCGCCACCTGTCCATGGTTAAAAGCTAGAATACTTAGCAA